ACTTGAGCCACAGTGCCACTTCTGGCTTTTTTTCCCTGCTTATGTGGTGCTGCTGAGGAATCGAACCCAGGGGCTCAGGCATGCAAGGCAAGCGCTCTACCACTGAGCCACCTTCCCAGCCCTTGGGTTTTTTTTTTTTTTTGCCAGTCCTCAGAGGCTGGGCACTGTCCTTGAGCTTCTGCTCAAGACTAGCACTCTACCACTTGAGCCACAGTGCCACTTCTGGCTTTTTCTGTTTATGTGGTACTAAGGAATCAAACCCAGGGCTTCATGCATGCTAGGCAAGCACATTACCACTAAGCCACCTCCCAGCCTGCAATAACATTTTGGAAGCCAGAACAGCTAAGTTAAATGAATGCAATGAACTTCATTTCCATTTTCTTTACCAGCCAAGTCAACAGTATGAACCAAGAAACAAGATCATTTCCTTTTTATTGTGTGTGTGTGTGGGTCAGTCCTGGGGCTTGAACTCTGGGGTTGGGCGCTGTCCCTCAGCGCTTCAGCTCAAGGCAAGCGTGCTACCACTTGACCCACAGCACCACTTCCAGTTTTCTGAGTGGTTTACTGGAGATAAGGGTCTCACTGCCTGGGCTGGCTCTGAACCATGATCCTCAGCCTCCTGAGTAGCCAGGATTCTAGGCATGAGTCATCGGCGCCTGGCTAAGATCATTTCCACTGAGGGATCAACCTCCACGTAATTAAAAAGAACAATCTGGAATAAAAATGGGAATCATACATTAAGGTGCCTTTAAATACAAAAGTGCTTTATAAGTAAGCCATACTATTACCTTGCGAAGCCATCCTCCTAAGGAATTGATCAGATATTTCCCTAGGAAAAATCCAATTCTCTGGAAGACAAAGTGTTCCATCAGGTCTTTCAAAACATAATCTCTCCAGGTTGGCAATCAAGACATCCAGACAGATATGGACCAAAGAGTAGGGCGATGCTTCCTCCTGGTAAACAAATCCCAAACTTTTAAACCATACAATCACAAATATTCAACATAAAACTAGGCATATACAGGGGCTGGGAAGGTGGCTCAGTGGTAGAGTGTTTGCCTTGCATGTATAAGGCCCTAGGTTCGATTCCTCAGCACCACATAAACAGAAAAGGCCAGAAGTGGCACTATGGCTGATGGTAGAGCACTAGCCTTGAACTGAAGAGCTCAGGGACAGTGCCCAGGCCTAGCGTTCAAGCCACATGACCAACAACAACAAAAAAAAACACCTAGGTATATATACACCCCCACCCCCACATACATACACTTTCCACCCCGCCCAGGGGCTGGTCCTGGGGCTTCAACTCAGACCTGGGCACTATCCCTTGTTGCTTCTGCTCAAGTCTACTACTCTACACTTGAGTCAGAGTACCACTTCTAGCTTTTTGAGTTCTTTATTTGGAGATGAGAGTCTCACAGAATTTGCTACCTAGGCTGGCTTCAAACTGCGATCCTCAGATGTAAGTCTCCTAAGTGGCCAGGATTACAGAAGTGAGCCATGGGCCTCTGGGACACACATATATCTTTGTATACTAATAAAGATATATATTCAATGAAATCTCGTTACTCCAACTATAAAGTAATTGAAAGAGTCTATCTTTTGTACTTTCTATTGTATATGGGGAAAGATGTAAACTACCTCCACATTTCATTTGTCAGCCATTAACAATATAGGGATAAAGGGCTGGGAAGGTGGCTCAGTGGTAGAGCGCTTGTCTTGCATGCCTGAGGCCCTGGGTTCGATTCCCCA